GCCCAGCCGAGTTGAATCCGTAGATTGACCTCTCGGTCGAAGTTGGACTTACCTAGTCGGACTATTTGTCTCAGGTAAACGTACTCGTCAACAACTTGAGCGTAGTGCTCCCAACAACTACCGGCATACGTGAGACATGGACATTAAACATGATTTTTGTTTTGTCCATGTTCATCTTAAGACCTATTCGTTGGGAGACACCATTGAGGTCATTGAGCACAGTGCTAAGGTCCTCCAGCGATTCTGCCATAAGGACTATATCGTCGGCAAATCGAAGGTGAGTGATGTACTCGCCATTGATGTTAATACCGTATCCTTTCCAGTCCAGTAGCTTGAAAACGTCTTCCAATGCAGCGGTGAAGAGTTTCGGGGATATAACGTCACCCTGTCTTACACCTCTCTGCAGTTGGATAGGTTTCGAACTCTGATTCTGTACTCGGATAGCCATCGTAGCCCTACTGTACAAACACTCCAGCACTTCGATATACCGACAGTCAAGTTGGTACCGCTGAAGAGACTGTAGCACCGCCCAAATTTCGACGGAATCAAAGGCTTTCTCATAGTCCACATACGCCAAGCAAAGTGGCAGATTGTACTCTTCGGTCTTCTGTACAATCTGCCGCAGGGTATGTATGTGGTCTATGGTACTGAAGCCTTTTCGGAAACCGGCTTGTTCGGGAGGCTGGAAGTCGTCGAGTCTGCATGCGAGACGATTCGTAATGACTCTCGAAAACAGCACGTAGACGCGGCTCAGAAGGGAAATTGGTCTGTAGTTCTTCAAGAGAGCGTTGTCGCCTTTCTTAAAGAACAAGACCACCACACTTCTGCTCCACGCCTCCGGAGTAGTGCCACCATGGAGGACGGAATTGAAGAGCCTCTGAAGGACTTCAAGTACCGGTGTTCCACTCGCTTTTACAAGCTTCGCTGTAATTCCATCCTCGCCTGGAAGGGCCTGAGAGGGTTAGAGCAAGGAATTGTCCGCCGCGCTGCCCTAATGCGTGTTGGCAAACTTCACGTCTTCGAAATATTTTTTTTTCTTATTTCTCAGACATGAAGTTTTCCTCACGATGTTTTCCTTCACCGCCGAGCACGTGGTAAATCAGCACTTAAAATTGCAATTAACAATTTCATTGATGCCGGAGGGGAGCGAACCTGGTTTCCTCGCGTACTGTGAAGTTTACAGCGAGCGCTAACCGTCTGAGCTACACTGCGGCACTAATCCTGGGATTTTCATACTATCCTGCAACCTTATCTGAAAGCTTGAAGGAGTGCTAACATTGGCTATAGTGCTAATATTGGTCGTGTAATAGGACCAATGTTAACACTATATATTATCCTATATTTCTAGCGATCTGACGACGATTGTAGGTCCGAGTGGCGGGGCGCTTGACGTCATGCATGGAATCAGTTGCAACAGTATTTAATAATTAAAATAAAATAAAATAAATAAAAAAAAGTATTTGTATAAAATATTAATTTAGAAACACCATGGTAGTGATCACTTTATTCCTAATGGTTATTACATACATTGCCCCATAAAGGAATTACTGTCGCTTTGGAATCGAGTAACTAGTATAACTAACTTGTGTTTGTGTTTAATATTTATAGAATGTATATCAATATTTTTAATTACACTATTTTCGTTTTGTGTACATAAATAAATTTTTTGTAAATATTATAGATTATAAGTGGTAGAGCCACGCTGCTGCCATATTATGGTTGTGACACGATTGTGTCAACTCGACCGGGTAAGGACCACGCTCTCACATAATACCAGCGGAAAATAGCATCTTAATACTGCTATATTTCGTATGGTGAGTGTATAATAATAATAATAATTCTCAATCGAGGATATAATGTAGATGTCTATGGGCCACATCATCCACTTACCATCAGGTGGACTGTGTGCTGGTTTGTCACCCTTATTCTATAAAAAAAAAAACTGTGAGGCCAATTTATATATTTATTTTTTTAAACTTTAAGTGATTCCTTCGGGCCTAAGTTACTTACAAATTGCTTTTAGTTCTCTCATGCAATTACTCCGACGGCATCAATTGGCGGATTTCATTTATCTTCGATTTTTTTTTTAAATAAAACTAAAGTCACAAACTAACACACAGTCTATCTCATAAAAGGAAGGCAACATATGCGTTGTCCCACATAAGAACTAAGATGGTATCCCTCACAGCCTGTAATTGATTATACTGGCTGCCATCAGCCAGCATAATATATGTGTAGTATGCTGGCCATCAGCCTGGAACACAGCAGTAGAATCACTACTATTTAGAGGCATGAATGAAGAAATCTACAATAATGGTGATATATGGAAAAACTGATTAAATTAAAATAAACATTAAATGTCAAAACATTTAATGTTTATTTTAATTTTTTGACATTTTATTTTAATTTTTTTAGATATTTGACATTTATATATAAACATTGGCTGTGTTTAGCTGAAAAAAGCGCTAGGCAGTGCTTGTAAACTATACACTTTTCGGCCAGGACACGTTTTCTAACTTCAGTAGCGCTGACACAATCCGCCATTTTGCTTATTTATTTTGTTTGTTTTGAAGTAGAGTTTATAAGTAGTTTTGTGCAATTAGTTCCAAGTAATATAATGACACGAATAATAAAAAATTAAAAATTCATGATTGGTAAGTTTTTAATACGAATACTTTACAAACATATATTTAAATTAGGTTAGGTTCCCGGTTAAAGCTATTGTCCTAGATTGTTTTGAGGTCCTATAGGAAAATAGCTATTTACCATTTGACAGCGCTTACCGCTTACGATCGGTATTTTGCTTACAAGCGCTTCCTAGCGCTTTTTTCTGCCAAACGCAGCAATTTACATAATTAGCTAAATTTTTGACATAATATATTTATAGTAATTTAAAAACTTGACGCTAAAATATTTTAAATAATTACATAATTATTTTTCTTTAATAATTTAACCTCCTTAAATAATAATAATAATATTTTTATATATCATTATGATATTGCACGCCATTATCATGGAAGAATGTAAGGTCTTATTAATAAATAACATTATATTATTATGTTTTACATTCTTGCAATAAATTAATTTGAATTTGAAATTTGAATACACTCACCAGATGTCGTTAGTTGTAACTGAGGTAAAGTTTTTTTGCACAATTCAGTTAATTGCGAAATTATTTTTAAATAAAAATTGTCCAGTTTCTTGAGTATTATATTAATACACAAAATAATACTTCAGTGGTTTTCTTTTTAATTTATTACACTTTTTAACTCTTTTTTTTTCTATTATTGTTACTTTTAGTTATATACATATACATAGTCCGGTTTATTAATTTCTAATCTAATTAATATAAAATATAACTAGTAATACACAAAGAAACATTAACCCTTACATTTTCCAAATAAAGTATTTTCCCCGCTATGAAGTCTATCAAATATTTTACCTCATTGCAAAGTAGCGCCAACCTGGTGGCATATAGCATGAAAAGCCCTCACTGACTGCCTTGTTGGACTAGTGGTCGTGAGGGCGGTAGTTATAAACCTTTAATTTTTTTATAGAATAAGGGTGACAAACGAGCGCACAGTTCACTTGATGGTAAGTGGATGCTGTGGCCTATAGACATCTACATTTATCCTCAATTAAGAATCAAAACGCAGATTCGTTGTCACCCCTGAGGGCTAAGATGGAATTTCTCATTCTAGTAAAAAAGGGCCTCCGGTTTTCTACACTCACCATACGAAACACAGCAGCATGAAGTTACTATTTTACGCTAGTATTCTGTGAGAGCGTGGTCTTTCCCTGGTCGAGCCGACCCATTCATGCTACAACTATACTATACTATAGTGTAATGTGATCACTAGCTTCCAATTTAGGTTCCTAATTAGATTTTCTAAAAATTGTATAATGTAGTAAGCGCTTAAGATGACCTTATTTGCACGCAGTTGGTCTCACAGTGTCATCATGATTGAAAAGTCCCCGTTTAATTTTAATTTATTCCGGTTCTAGCGTGAGATATATATATATATATATATGTACATACATTGTATGTACATTGTGTATATATATACAAAACAATGTTTCAGTGCTGTAATCATCACCACATATTTAATTTTTTTAATTCTTCTACTTTTAGGAGCATCCGTAGTTTGGTTTGTCCATTTCTAACCTAATCAATATAAAATACAAACAATATATCAGAAAGAAACATTGATATCAACACATTTCTTACAATTTAACTTTGCTCGATATGAAAGCTGTCAAATATTTCTCCTCTTACGTTAGTAAGAGGAGAAATATTTGACACACACATTTGGCCCACACTGGTGGAAAAAGGAGTCGTGCCCGCATTGATTTAAGACATAAACGATGAAGACATGGCGTAGCCGACAACCCTGTACGTCGTTTGTGATACTGATACTGGCGCCGTTTTCACATATCTTTTATAGAGTAAGAGTTACAAGCGAGCACACAGTTCACCTGGTGATAGCGAATGCTGTGGCCCATAGACATCTACATCTACCCTCAATTAAGAATCAAAATGCAGATGCGTTGTCACCCATGAGGACTAAGATGGAATGTCTCGTTTATATTAATAAGGATCTCCAGTTCTCTACACTCACCATACGAAACACAGCAGCATTAAGCTGCTATTTTACGCTGCTATTCTAAGCCTTTACACATTTATTTTCTTGGTAAATATGCTCTGGTTTGGTGTAGTGTACTGCCGGTGTAAGGATATCCACTACTCCATATCATCCCGAGGGTGTCGTAAGAGTCGACAGCGGGAAACAAATCAGGAGATGGGCAGCAGCGTCTTCCTAATAAGACTAAAAATAAAAAAAAACTGCGTTTGTCAACTCGCTTGCCAAGCGTGGCAATTATGGCAAATACCTCCCCCATGAGGTAATCTATGAAGGAGGCCTATGTTCAACGATGGAATTTAGTAGGATGTAACGGTATGCTACGGCTTTCGTTTCTTATGGACGTGGTTTTTGTTGCAGATGGAAGCAAAGGTTAAAGAAGAAATCCTGGACAACGATTATAGTCAGCCGACGTCCACAGAGAGACGGAAAAGTGAGTTGCTTTATTTTTAAATGTCTGCGAAAAGGTTCTATATTCGACGCGTATGTTTTTTTTTGTACATATTCACCAATTTCTCGAAAACAGCTGGACCGATTTAAATAGTTTGGACTTCTAATCGATACGCTATGTCACAGCTTTAAGCTCTGACTTTAGAAACCCGAGTTCACCGCCGGCACCAATGAAATTGTTAATTGCACTTTTAAGTCCTGATTTACCAGGTGCTCGACATAATTGCAATGAGCCTTTAGGCCTTGAGCTACCACGTCTCTCAGCACTCACGGTTCAATATTGTGTAAAATTAGTAATATAAATAATTTTAAAATTTTATACGTGGTAGAGCCACGCTGCAGCTATATTATGTTTGTAGCACCAATAGGTTGGCTCGACCGGGGAAGGAACACGCTCTCACAGAATACCAGCGTAAAATATCAGCTTAATGTTACTGAGTTTCGTACGGATAGTTTAGAGATCCGGAGACCTTTATTTTACTGGGAACGAGGCATTCCATCTTACTCCTCAGGGGTGACAACACATCTGCGTTTTGATTATTAATCGAGGATAAATGTAGATATGAGCCGCAACATCCACTTATTAACAAGTGGACTGTGTGCTCGTTTGTCACCCTTATTGTATAAAAAAATTAAAGGTTTATATTGACTGTTTAATATTAAAGGTAATTTTAAAAATCTCTAAAGTCGATCTGGAGATGATAAGAATTGCGTCGTCACGTCCATCGTCCTCTTGCTCATTCGAAACAGTTCGTTTAATTTCGGCGCTTGCTAAAACCCATTTTGGCTGAAGCCGGAGGTTTTGCCCAAAAGTGGGTTTCTGGCCGAAGATGGCCGAAGCGGAAGACGAATCCGAAGCATCGATCGGAAACTAATAAATAGTTTTATTCAATTTGGGACTCTCGTTCTAGTAGCTTGACGTCATACCAAAAAAAAAAAAAACTAACAAGTTAATGATCCAACCCGGTGTGTTTGACGTTTCCAGATGAAACAGCTGCGGATTGGAAATTCAATTTGGAACTGCCACTCACACGGTAATGTTCAATAATGAGCGTTTAACCAAATCGAAATGAATTTTGTCAAAGTAGTTACTTACGTCTTTGATTAAAACTACTTTTACGGTTTTTATCGCGCTTAATTTACTTTATTTTTAATACCCACGTTCGGTGCTTTCCAGCATCAATGATCACGGGGGAATGAGGTGTCAGACGTCCCGATGTCAGTGTTAGCCCGGAGTACCATTAGCTTTTTAATTATTCTTTTTAGTCCGATCTACGCCGAATTAACTTACTGTGTTTTGAAGTCTTGCAGTGGTATGCTTGGGTTTAGTTTAAAAAAAAAACACTAACGCCTGTCACCCAGAGGGGTAGGCATAGACTACGGACTTCCATTTGACATGATCCTGACATACATCTCTCGCCTTCTTTACATCCATATATCTACGCATACACAGTCATCTCCTAAGGGTACTCCTAATGTGGCCTATTTTCAAAATATCGACAATTACAATACAAATGTGGTTTACTTTTAATTTTTTTACAGGGTCCCAAGCAGGTGGTAGTACCCAGCCTTCTTCTCTATTAAAATTAGGATGTTTTTTTATTTCAATAGCCTCACGTATCATCCTTGGTAGGAATCGATGTTATTTCGTAAGGATTTGTGGTCTATCAAATCTGATGTAATGGTTGGGGCCGTCTAGGATAAGAACACAAACTGCAGACTTCCCGGAACGTTTTTACGTCATAGAGCCATGCTGCAGTTATATTAGTAGTATAGCTGTAGCACGAATGGGTCGGCTCGACCGGGGAAGAACCACGCTCTCACAGAATACCAGCGTCAAATAGTAGCTTAATGCTGATGTGTTTCGTATGGTGAGTGTACTCTAACCGGAGACCCTTTTTATTGGAAACGAGGCCTTCCATCTTAGTCCTCACGGATGACAACGCATCTGCATTTTGATTCGTAATCGAGGATAGGTGTAGATGTCTATGGGCCACAGCAACCACTTACTATCACGCTTGCGTGCTTGTTTGTCATCCTATCCTATAAAAAAATCGGTACTAATGCATCTTTTTGTTTGCCCTATATATGAGAGACCACAATCACAATCAAGTTTGTATACACATGCATCTTGTAGAGGAATATGACACTTGACGGATGGTAAGAACTGATTAATCTCCTTCGGCAACTTGTATATTGTTCTAATAAAAGCTCGCTTCAAGATGTCGCCAATCTTGTCCGTATGTAAGAAGTCATTATATTTACTTACGTCCTTACTTAATCTTTTATTATCGCTTAATAAAATTTAGTATTACCTAATTATCTCTATATCTGTCTCACTCAACTGTGATTTATTGGAAAGAGAATAGATATTGTTAAATTATGAATATATAAGTGAAAATACATTGAATGAAATTGGCTGTTACGGTTTGAATAAAACTTTCAACTCCTGACGTTTCGGGTGCTTTACAGCACCCTTAATCACGTTTGACGTCCCGGTGTTATACCCATCATCATCCTTTGAATATTAATTTTTGGTCCAATCTACGCAGAACTAGTATAAGGTATCTTGAAGTCTTACTGTGGTATGCTTGGTTTTGGTTTGATTTTATTGATTATAGGATCCCAGGGTGATGGTAACACCCAGCCATCTTCTATATTGAAATTTGGATGTTTTTTTTTAAATTTCAATAGCCTCTCTAATCTTTGTTAGGAATCGGTGTTATTTGCAAGCATTTGAGGTCTATAAAATCTGATGTAATGGTGGGGATAATCCTGAATATGTTCACAGACTGCAGACTTCCTGGAGCGTCGGTGTTATAAGTCAGCTATATGTTCCTTTACGCGGGGTTTTGTCGAACTTTTTGTTTGTCCTGTGTAAGAGAGACCACATTCACAATTATGCTTGAAAACTCCTGCATATTGTAGACGGATATTAAACTTGATTCAATGGATGGACTAATTTTTGTTGTAACTTTTAATGGCAGCTCGCTTCAACCTAATTTTGTCCGTGACTCTTGACATACGGTACTACAACGGACACGCTCGACTGCGGCCGACTTCACTTAGTCGCTATGACGTAGGCGCGGGACCCGTAGCTTGTTGTCTTGCAATACCCATATAAACTGTATAATATGAGTTTCGTATGTTTTAAAAAATATAACATTCGAAATTCAAACATTTTCTTGGTTTGAAGTTGGTGCCGATGTTCATTGGCGGCATTAGTCACTTTTTATAGAACTGAACTTATTAGTGAATTTACTGTCCACCTGATGATAAGTAGCTACAGTTCAAGTACACTGCACGTGTGCTGCTTGAGGCAAGAAGGTCGTACCCAACTTCTATATAGAAGGGGAGACCTTCCATCTAAATTTAACACTATCTCGGTCCGATTTTCAGACACAATGGTAAGACAATAGCAATGACCAACACGTAACATAATTAACGCACATCCTGAAAGTAGTTTGTTCAGAATCGTTTACTGAATCGATTCCTATCATTTTTAATATAGGTGATTTTTTATCACAAAAATAATTAAAAGTACGTAAATTACAGTCACATTAAACCTGTACAGTCAAAACAAACTGAAATGTACCATAACTCATGCAATAAGAATTTTAAAAGTGCAGTTTTATTTGTATTAATATACGTTCGGCATTCAATACAAAATGCAGAAAAAGAACCTTATTTCAAGCACGTTAAAGTCTTTGCGTTCGTGGATTTGTACTGTGACCACAACATTCTTCCGGAATTAGTATAACTAATTTAATAAATAATCAATGCATGAACATGTTTAACTAAAAAGTCAGTGTATGTATTATGATTATAAGATAATATATTAATTGGAGTGTCTGGGGGTATGCGTTAATTACGTTACGTATTATATGTAGTACATAAGACAGCGAAACACTTTTAAGAACACGACAGACTTTCGATGAGCTGTTCAAATCCCATTTTGGCAACAAAACGCGTGCTCGGTGCAAAGTTCTATTTGTATGTGACGTGCCGACGCATAAGTTTTAGGATCACACTGGTTGTACGCGTGGGTTCCGTACGAACATCCCCTCAACCTTCTCACGTTGATCTGGACATCGCAGGTAGGAGTGCCAGTCTGTTCCTAGTTTAAGTGCGTATTTTTTCGTACAAAATCGAGAATCCAGATGTCATAACACGTGGCATACGTTGCGTACGTGCAACGACTACACAGCACGCCTCATGCAAGGCAAACACTTTCTGTCAACACGTTAGACAAATACGTCTTACTTAAGGAAACGATCGCACGATCTACTTTAGTAGCGACCACATCCCCGACCCGTGAACATCTTGCATCTGACTCGTGAATTTTCGAAAAATAAAATACAACAGACGCGCAACATGGTTCCCTGTACAATAAAATAGTGCGGAAATAGTAGCCAAATTTATAATTTCAAAAAAAATGGCATCACTTTTCATAGATTAGTGAATTTTAATTTCAAAATTCATTAATTAAAATTAAATCAGAGCTCAACCTATATTGGTCTCAAGCAACTCGCGTTGATTTATTCGGACATCTTCGGATATTTTCAGACTATGCATCCCTTTCTTTTCAATGCAGTTTATTGTTGCTATACTTTTCTTTAATTTCCGGCACGCATAACTAGTGCTGTACCAGTTAAATTATAATATTGGTACAAGTAAATACAGTGAATTTCGGCTATAACGACGGCGGAGGGACCACTTTAATGTCGTCGCTATATCTGAAGGTCTCTATATCCGAAATAATAAAAAGTCATATACATATTTACTTATCACTTATTTAGTTATGTTATACACGGGTGTAATTGCAAAAACGTGTTATAGTGCACTGTTTAAGTTTAGTTTTTTGTGCACGCTGTAAGGTGTATTCCATTTTCATAATTCCTTCAACATCTAAATTATTTTGGCCTTCACCAAATAAACAGTACTTTTTGAGCCTTGATATAGCACATAATGCATCTCTAGTTG